GTAACTACGTTCAATGCTCGGTAGTCACCACATGGTCTCCAACTAACCCCATCCTTTTTGCCAACCATGTGGAGAGGTAATGCCCAGGGACTGTGAGAAGGACGAATAATACCAGTAGCTAGTAAGTTGTCAAACTCACGTTTAGCAAAAGCTAATTTGTCCGTTGCCAGTCGGTGAGGTTTTGCCTTGACTGGGGGTCTGCGGGTGACTATGTGGTGTACCACACAATTGGTCACCGATGGAATTTCCTAGAGAGGTTCAGTTATTTCGGGGAATTTTCGGAATAAGGCATGGAATACATCGTCATGCGTATGAAATACGCCTAAGATTCGGTGAGCATTTGTGTGAGCTTTAAGGCCTATGAATTTGCAGTTCGACGAAGTATCGATTAGCTGCAGCCTAGGTGAATCGACTAGCAATTCATAGTGCTGTAGAAAATCGATACCAAGTATGGTTGTGGGAACATCAGCAATGATGAACGTTCACACGTACTGTCGTCGACCGCTCAGGTTGACTGTAAGGTGTCGTGTACCATAGGTAGGAATGACTGAGACATCTATAGCGCGTAGTTGAACCATCGTAGCTCGAGACTTACTGTTACCAATCGGTAAGACAGAAACTTGAGCACCCGTATACACTAGGTACTTAGCGTTAGTGCGATAATCGTGCACTGTAATGAACGACCAACCTGAGGTGAAGGGTCGGCAAGTATGGCCGCATTTACTCGTCAGCTGGAAGGTTCGCGACCTTTTGTGAGCAGGGGGTTCAACAACGGTGGGCACCGAACCCGAAGGCACTATAAAACCAGAACCGACCATAACTTGCTTCCGAAATCGCGTTTTGACGTGGCATGAAAGATGCTTGCTTCGGGCGAGCTTTTACAGCTTTAAGGGAGCGTGACCTATCTCGGGGGAAGTAGGGTTTTGATATATTGGATCGATTTCGAAAATTAAGGCCGGTATGAATACATCTATCCCTATCACCTTGAGCTTAAAGGCGACTAGCGTCAAGATCGTCGTTCGAACGTGATGTTGAAGCAACTATATAGTTGTCTCGGATGCTAGCCCTTACCAATATCTTACCTGCTATAATGGCCATCTGGGTAAGTGTGGTGTCTTCGAGCAGAACCGTTGGTCGTTGGTTGGTTGTAAACGTGCTGGTAGAGATTCGAGCCACAGTTCCTCAACGATTTCGGAATCGGCTGTAGTGGGACCTGCAAGCGATCGCAGGCGCGTGAGGTGATGGCTCGGTTTAGCATCACCCAGGGGATGACGTGCTAATGAAGTCCCCAATCGTTCCTCCATCGAAGGGATGAAATGTCTAAGGATAGCCTCTTTGAGACGATCGTAAACATTAGGTACATTCGGGTTGAGGACAACCTCATGAACAGCAGCTATATGATCCCCAGGCAGAGTTTACAGAGAGTAAATATACTTTGCTGTTGATTCGTTATGCAGTGGATCTCGAATTGAGATTCCATTGCCGTGAAACAAACTTTTGGGTCGTGGGGAATAAAGGAGACAGGTCGGAAATTTATTCCATGTACCCCTGAGTCTATTATATTAATGCCGTTCTCATCGTTATCCACCATATTGGGTTGTTTTCAGAATATTAGTTATTGAAAAATATCAATGCGAATACATGCAACAAAAGTGGATAGATAGATAATAGACTCACCTTGGTAATCTTCTTTGGGAGGTTTTCCAGAGGTTGAAACGATTTAGCAAATTGGCTCACCAGATGTAGTTGGTGTCCAGTCGCGACTGACTACGATCCATACTGCAAGAAGATTACATGCCAGGTATCAAGTTGGTTCCCTCGGTAAGCCAAAAATCAGAGGACTGTTGACGGGTGAAATAAGATATATTTGTTGACGATCTCGTGGTTTCGATAGAATACTGAGACGTACCAAAGTTTACAAGCGGAACTGCCGACTGTAAGCGAGTTCGTGCAAGGTCACAGGCAACGGATGGAAAAGGGTCTCTGTGGTGCACTTAAACAAACAAGCACAGTAAAACAATCACTGATACAATTGGTTGTAATCATAAATGTTTCCATTATACCAATTGTGTTTTCATCGTAAAAGTAGTTCACTACAGTTTTATGGTTAAGATCTTGAATATTCATCATCAAGATAGATGAGGAAATTTTTATTGAGAAAAGAAGGCCCAGCATGATAAGATAAAATTTTGAAATTGAAATGAAATGTAATCAGGATGATCACCGAAACAGAAATAAACCATTTGGGGATAAAAGGTCTATAGAGGAGATAAAAGGAGATGCAAATGGCTGTGAAGGAAGAAAAGTATGGAGTAAGAAAATTATAATCGATTAAGACTATGGTAGAAGAAGTGGTTGTATCACCTTCTTTTAAACACACAATTCTAGATAATATATAGCTGGTGCTTCGGCAATATTAAGATGTAATATAACTGCTTTTGTTAGTCTTCTACTTACCCTGTAGATAAACTTTAACGCAGAGTCCGCTTTGATTGAGTGACCTGTATTCAATGATTGAGTTTCTTATTGAGTCGCTTCCACTTCTTTTTAGCCATACTGGGTTCTTGTTTTTGAATTCTTTTAGGTCAAGTATTTATTGATCGACCTATATACCTGGTTCCACATGAACAGGTAAATTGATTATCGTACACAGAATTGATCAAGTGGGATCATTTATCCGTAAGATTTTTGATGAACGTTGATTGACTTGAAAAAATTATTCGTAAAGTTGTTGCTAATCGGAAATATTCTTCTTTGAGACTTCTGTAACTTTATGACATTTGAAATCAATGTTCATAAAGAGTGTTTTCTTTTCAACCAAGGTTAAAACTATTATTAATTTCCCTGATAAAAATCACGTTTTAATACCATTGTTTATTCTACCTCACTGTTACCACGTGTAACAGAATTTTATTATCAATACCATTGTTATTATCACCTTGAAAAATAGGTATGTGGTTTTTCGATTGTACAGCCTTGAAAACAAATTTTCCGAAAAGAGAATTAGTGAATCACAATTAATTGACCTTTGGAGAGAGAGAATATTAAAATTTATATGCGTATATCTGAATATGTATGCAGGTAACTGAATGCGTAGGTGCTGTCACACATAAACACAAGACAATATTATGTGCCCTAACCCTATACGGTACAAGAAGAAGATTTAAGTTCAAAAGTTACTTAATTTAGTAGTAGATAGTAATGGTAGTGAAGGCAAGTTTTGAAAACTAACATCATTTCGAGTGAAGCATTATTCTGGTGATAAAGAATCCAATGTTCAAGACAGAATAATAAAATTATGTTTATAGTTAAATTTGAAAATATTGTCGTTTCAAGATAATCCACTGGTTAGCGTTTTTTGACAACTGAAACTCAAAACAATTGTCAACCAACACCAAGATCACAATTTTCAATCGAAATGTCAAGACAAATCTACTGTATGCTGCGGAAACCTGGAGAACTACGAAAGCCATCATTCAGAACATGCAAGTGTTTATCGATAGTTGTCTATGCAAGATACTTCGATTCCGTTGGCCAGACACTATCAGCAACAAGTTAGAGTGGGAGACAACGAACCAGATTCCATCAAGCTGAGGAAGAAATCAGGAAGAAGCGCTGGAAGTGGATAAGACACACATTGAGGAAATCACCCAATTGCGTCACAAGACAAGCCCTCACATGGAATCCTGAAGGTCTAAGGAGAAGAGGAAGAGCAAAGAACACATTACGCAGAGAAATAGAGACAGACATGAGAATGAACAAAAACTGGATAGAACTAGGAAGGAAGTCCCAGGACAGAGTGGGTTGGAGAATGCTGGTCGGCTGCCTATGCTCCATTGGGAGTAACACGCCTAAGTAAGTAAGTAAGATAATCCAAGTTTCATAGTTCGATGAAATAATCATAACCCTAATTTAAACATAGTTTGCGAAATATTTCTTAATTTTACTTCCGACTTACAAAGTATTTGACTAGAAATTTATTGAAATATCACACTAGACCACATTGAATACAAGAAAAGTCAGTTTAAAATATATAACAAATAAATATACATCCGAAATAACAAACTTCTAACTAACAATACGATTGGAACTCAACAAAGTGAAAAGTGAAAAGGTTAAAATGACGAGACTATAATTTATGAACGAACAAATCAGACACAAGATAACAGGCCTGGGATTTCGGCGCCAAATTTACTCATCCATTTGACCAAATAGCGTCTTGGTATTTTAATTGATGTTAATTCCTGATGAAAAACCGTAAATCTAATTGCTAACCCTAACCATCAACTGTGAATCATAATCCTTATTCTTCAAACTACTTTATAACTCTCATTTAACCCTAGTAAGTAGGTGGACACTCTCAATGTCACTTCGGTGTAGCTCAAAAGTCGTCCATAATTCATAGTCTCACTGTCGAGAGAGCCAGCCTAATAATGACAAAATAATATACATATCAGTCCTGGAAATGAATTTCTAACCAAAACAGTAATATCTAGCTCGAAATAGTGACAGATTTTAGAAACAATCACGACGATCAATAGAACGATATCAACATAAACTAATACTACTGCTCCTTGCTTTACTCAAGTTGTACATACTAATAAATAGTATAACTTTTTATATATACTTGAAATCATGAGTCAATTGAAGCTGGACCACCGTAGAAAATCTGGAAGTACTGAAAGGCCGTTTCGTCCTATTGTGGTACTCCTCAGCAGGGAGTATTCACGATCCCGCCTCGCGAGCGAGATTCCAACCCAGGACCTGCGCCAGAGCGTAAATGTACACTGAATGTTAGAATTTTAAAGATGGATTCATATCAAAACATAGTATTATTACAACGCATAACAGTCATTTATTTTCACTTAATCAGTAAATCCATGTTAATTTGTCCATATTGTTGTTCAGGTTCATAGTACTAATCCCAAGTGTTGGATATCCAATGTCTAGTGACAAAATATATATGTCTTATATTTTAATGTCTATCCTAAACCTTTTCTTTTGTTGTTTGTATCCTTAATGTGTTCAATGTGTATATGATTTTCTTTACAATCTGCACAGAAATATGATATTTAAGAAAAGGGAAGAAAGCAAACAAATGAAGTCAATCCATTTGAAATGTGTTAATATCTCTTTAATATGTCCTACATATTGTTATTGTCATAATGATTGGTTTGGCCACATAGTGAAATGAAGGGAAGGTTACACCTAATAATGAAATGAATCTAAAAATCAATTCAATATAGTTTCCTTTTAAAGGAAATCAATATACTTGATTATATAATAAGCCAAAAAAGGATAGTACATACTAATAAACATTGATAAACGATTATTTTTAAGAAGGTACATAAATAATAATTCAGAAAGAAAAAAAAAACATTTCAAGGTTACAAAAAAGGTAATATTGATAGAAAACTTTAGACTACACACTTTCAAAGGTGCCTATCATTTAAATTAGAAGCAATTTCATTACAAAATCTTTAAATTTACATTAGTGTGAATTTGAATTCATTTTTTTCCAAACTCTGTATTAACTCTCTCACAAAACATAATACTTAACTAAAAAAAACAAATGGCTACTCGAATGAGCGATATGGGTATGGATGTACAAATTAATCGTCGGGTAAGTTTAATATTAAATTATTCATAATTATGATAGTATGCAATAGTAAAGAAAGAATTAAATACATTGATTAAAAAAAAATTTTTCAGTAAACTAAATCTATATCAGAAGGGATTAAGTGCTTTGGCGCGAGACTGGTAGGTCCTGAGTTGGAATCTCGCTCGTGGGGCGATGACGTGGATGGGTACTGCTGAGGAGTCCCACAATAAGACGAAACGGCCTTTCAGTGCTTCCAGGTTTTCTACGGTGGTCCAGCTTCAATTGACTCATGATTTCAACTATGAAAATACTGAAATATTAAAAAAAAACCCACTTCTGATAACATTCAGTATTCTTGTTTCATTCCTGGTAGATAAGAATTAATCTTCAATATTCCTCACAATAGTCGTGGTATAAAATTATTGATAACTAAACCATTTTCATTTTAAAAGAAACATCTCTTTTTTTATGACTGGATGTATTCAGACAATGTAATCTTAAAACCAATTTTGCCTAACAGTTTTTGAATCATAGTTCAAGTATATTGACATGATATATTAGATATGTTTGAGAAAACTAAATGTAAGCCACGTTTATCCAAATATATTTCAGGCTGTTTGGGAAGTTGAATGATCTTTGTGAAAGTTTAAATAAAGGTTTACTAAGATTATGGTATGTGCTACTGATGTTGACAGATATAAGTAGTATATACCATCAATCGAAAGTGGAATGTCTAGAAGTAGAAGGTTAAGAAGATGGAAGAAAAATAATGACAAAAAAGAATTATTGGTATGGAAACGAAGGAACAATGAACTCTGAGACGATTGATTGACATTTTGCAAATGAATTATTTACTGTATAGGACGAAACCGAGTCCTGGATTCCACTACTAGCCACTATCCATCTCTGCTTACTATTTACCGTATGGTTTTCAGATTTTACTAAGGTGTAATTTTGTGCTCAAATACATTCGATTGTTCTCACTTATTTTCTTGTTTACTACAAGGTAATATCTGACCTATTGACATTTGAAAATATGAAGTATTCCAACGTGTTTTAGATTACCAGTATAAAAAGTTTTTTCCACAAGCGAAATAAAAATGTTTCAATAAGACAGTAAAAAATCAGGTACAGAAGACACAATAAACCATTTGCAGAACTAACAACATTGTAATTAATCGCTTTTACAAGCCGATAAGATAGCAGGCAACCTAATATAAAAGTACAAGTGTAAGTTTTTTTTGCTCAGAAGCCATAATATACCTCATATTTGATTAAAAGATATATTACACCAACTTTCAACCTTAAGGTAAGATGTTGGTTGATAAGTCATTCATCAATGTGATTATACTAGAATGTAATTTTATTTGTACTTCCTTGTAAGCTATTAACAATGAATAACTATAATGTACTTTTATTCTTGGATATAAATAACTCCATCAATTTTAGATTATTTGTGTGAAAAACCAAATTTCTTTAACATTAGGATAATTTATATACACTTGAAATCATGAGTCAATTGAAGCTAGACCACCGTAGAAAACGTGGAAGCACTGGACAGCCGTTTCGTCCTCTTGTGGGACGCCTCAGCAGTGAACATCCACGATCCCGCCTCGCGAGCGAGATTCCAACCCAGGACCTACCAGTCTCGCACCAGAGCACTTAACCGATAGACCACTGAGATACTTTATTAAATATACTTTGAAATTGTTTCTTTTTTCAAGAGTTGAAGTCTCTCATGTATTTTTTATTGTTGTTTTCTATACTAGTTGAATAGTAAATATGATGCAGAAAGTGAAGCTGAAGCCATCAATTGGCTAAATCAATTAACAAATGAAAATGTACCATTTGGCAGAGAAAATGTTGCGGCTGCATTGAAAAATGGACAGATATTAATCAAGTAAATATGAACATTTTTTTGTGAAAATTAAATTACTTTGATTGGTTAGCGATTCTCATAGACATAGAATTTACTTACTTACTTACGCCTGTTACCCCTCGTCGAGGAGCATAGGCAGCTCACTCTGTCCTGGGAAATCCTTCCAAGTTCGTTCGAGTTGTTATTCATCCTTTTCACATCTCCTTCTATTTCCCGGTGTAATGTGTTTTTTGGCCCTCCTCTTTCGCGCTTTCTTCCGGATTCCAAGTTGGGGATTGCCTTGTAATACACATTGGTGATTCCCTTAATGTGTGTCCTATCCACTTTCCTAACTTCCTCTTCAGATGGAAGCTGGTTTGTCCTCCCCCATAAAACGCTGTTGATGATAGTATCCGGCCAGTGAATGTTGAGACATAGAAATAAATAGGTAATTATACCATCTTACTTAGGGCTTTTTAGACAAACTTTGGTAGTCTCATGGAAGACTGAAATCAATTATCATTTGAAGTAGCTGAGTATTATAGTTTCTGTAAGAGTTTTTTCTCTGTACTCAATACTGTTCACCAAATCTAAACAATAATTACTTATTCAGCTGCTCAAAAATCGAACCGTTACCGAGATGTCTCATAGATTTCAAATCTACATTGAAGATAATTGTATTTGATGAGTTATTTGGATGCCTTGAGAGGCATCGTATGAATATTTGAAAGGTGAGGAACACCTTTTGAATGACATTGTTGTTTCGGAACTCTATATCCTTCACTTATCTCTTGGAAGTTTCGATAACCCCAGTGAGTTCGTGATCAAAGTTGCTAAACACATGTAAAGAAAATTCTCTGTGACTTTCACCGCTCTACTTATGATGTGGTATACACAAGTTATTTGACGCTCTTTTCAAAAGCCAAGGATTTTCATGAAAGATCTTGTGTGTTTTACTTTAAAAACGTGGAACGCAGGGAACTAAAATTTGTCGATACACTTAATTCTATGACATTACTTCAGATACGTTTTTGAAGTATTGAGAGACCAATGAAATCATGAGCTATTGGTAATTTACTTGGTAATTGGTAATTTTCTCCCACTGACGAAATGACTGACTTGTAACACTAAGTTGTTATTATACAAGAAGATTTGAAGTGTATTCTACAACTCTACGTCAGTTCTTGATAGATAATCCGGTTCTACAATTACATATCCAAATTAATAATCCATAAAATTGTCCAGGTTTAATTGAAAGTATTTCTGATTAGCGTTTTTATAGCAAGTTAGTTTTTTGATGGATGAGGTCGCTAACCCCATGCCCAACCTTCCTCCTTTATCCGGACTTGGGACTGACAGTAGCCCCAGAGGGACTTCAGGCAGAGTATGTCATTTAAAATTGCAACATATGAATCAAGGATTTGAGATGGTGGAGAAGGACGATGAAAAGCTCCACGACCAAACCACCCAGCTCAGAGAACAAACCAACATCAAGAATCAAGGATTGTTTGTCACATAAAATCAAATCAACTTGTCAATGCTTGGGTAAATCAGTTTATAAGTATGACGAAATTGTGCGATAAATGATCAGAATAAATATGGTCGATGTTGGGTAAGAGAGAGAGAGAGAGGATAATGTAATTACAAATCAGAAATTACGTAATATGTTGAATGAAAAGGATTAGACAAGAATTAGTAGATAGGGTTGGATGCTGAATAAATTTCCCCAAAAAGGTTAGCAAGTGTAATAATAATAATCATATGTGAGTGCGATTAGTTTAATATATAAAAATGATTCAATATCATAAAATTGACTATTAACTAACGAGGCCCGAAGTCGGCCACAAAAGAAGAAGCGGTTGAACATATTTGTTTTGGAAGCCAAGCTTTGGCTTTTTGATCTGAATAGCGACTGCTTCATCCGTCTGCAGGATTCTCATTATGACGGATTTAAGTAGATTGCTGTTTGTGCTAAATTAGCTAATATGAAGCTGTTAACAGTTTTAACTAGACCTTTGCCTAAAGACACTGGAAGGTGCTCGCAAACCTGAAAAAACAAATTCTTAGAACACCTGCCAATATAACCTGCTCCACAGGAGTAGTGACTAGTTTAGGTAATTTCTCTTTCAACTTCGGAGTGATCATTGGATGTGTAGAAAACAGAAATTGTAGTTTGCCTGCATTAAAAGAACTTTGGATTGCTCTGTGTAACTTTGGTTTTACCATTTCACCGGATGCATAGCCTGTAAATTGTAATCGTATATACTCAGGCTTTTTGCTCACAGATAAGCATTCCTTATGACGTAAATTATTTGTTAAATGTTTATTTTTAAATGTCTCCGGATATCCTTTTTTCAGAGTCGTATACAATTCATTTGTTTCGTCTTCAACTGCATCTAGGGAGAATATCGTCTTGGTTCTATTGTGATATGTCTTAATCAGGTTCCTTTTGTACTGTAGAGTGTAGTGCCGCGATTCGTTAATCGTTTACTTCGATAACCGTTATGATTCTAATCTTAACGGTGCGTAAAATCAGAAGACAAAGGATAGCAGCAACTACAGTTTATTGTCGAATAACTCAGGTCAGAAAGTTAACAACAACTGAGCGAATAATAACGAGCGAGTGAACAGGCGAATAAGCGAAGGAAGCGAAGGAGGCGGAAATGACATGCAGTGGAGATGGCTGGGAAGCCAACTCGATTTAAGCAAGCGTTAATCAACATTTATGGTCGGACAAAAATGAGTGACAGACATATGATGAATAAGATACGAAGGGTACACATATATGCTTATATAAAAGTATAGTCAAGGTCAATAAGCGAATAATGAACAAGATAAAAATACGACTCATAATATATAGGTGAATTAGCTTGGCCAGTAACTAGAATAAATTATATGGGCTTAACATATAAACTGATACTACAAGAGGAACAAAATTATTAAAATTTGTGTATTGGTGAGTCCAATTAGTTTTCTTGTTTCTTTAACTTCTTGATGAATCATCTTTTTTCCTTGTATGTAGAACATCTAGGAAGGCTATTCTACCTCTATTTTCTTCCTCACGTGTAAATTGTATGGACGGATGAGCGTCAATAAATCGCTCGAGTGTTTCTACCTAGTCATTTCATAGTTTGCAAAAGAGAGACGTATCGTCCATATATCGGCAGTAAAATGAAAACTTGTCAATCTGCTGTACGAGTGCACCGTTTTGTAGTTTAGCGAGAAAAATGTCAGCTAATATGGGACTTGAGGGTGAACCCATCGCCACACCATCTGTTTTTCTATACATTTCATCATTGAATTTGAAGTTTACGTTCGTAGTACATTTTGGCAATAATTCCTTGATGATCTCCACATGGGTCATACTTTCTATTTCTTGTCATTATTTCAATGAGATCATGAACCGATCAATGTTAGACCATTCTTAATAGCCTGGAATAACTGGGTGACCGTCTGGTGCTTGTATGGGAATCCCCCGCAGTGCTCATCTGCGATCCCGCACGCACAACTCAAACCCAATCATATATTAATACCGTTGTTGCTTTAGAAGTAGTTTGATATATAGCTTATATAGAAGTATGTTTACAATTGACCGATTACTTGTAACGTTATTTGTTGCTTTTTGTTATATTAGTTTGTTTATTTGTTAAATAAAATTTTTGCTTTAATGGATCCTTATCTCGTCTAATAAATAGGTTGATCAATGTCGTTTTTGATGGCACTGCATCTCTTCCATCAGCTGCAGCTAAAATGAAAAGACCCTTCAAAGCTAATACAATGACCGCTCCCTTTAAACAGGTAGGTAGAATGCTAACGGATAGTAATATTAAAATTACGTAATGTCTAGTCGCCTATCAAAAGAAAATTATTTTTTATATCCCGTTTAACTATTATGCCGAAATGAATCCTTCTTTGAATCAGTTAGCATTTTATTACTTCCTTACTTCATTGCTTTGTTTACTTACTTACTTAGGCCTGTTACTCCCAATGGATCATAGGCCGCCGACCAGCATTCTCCAACACACTCTGTTCTGGGCCTTTCTTTTTAATTCTATCCAACTTTTGTTCATTCTTCTCATGTCTGTCTCTATTTCTCGGAGTAATGTGTTCTTCAGTCTTCTTCTTTTCCTTTGGCCTTCAGGATTCTCCCGCAGGAGCTATAGGAGGAGTTCAATTGCTTTGATTGTTGAGATAAATATCATTGATTCGGAATCTTGAATTGTTCCAGCTTTATCATATATAGATATGAGGATTACGAATTAAAGTATCTGAATGAGTAATTAAATCATATCAGAAACAGCTATAGGTAAAACTATTGGAATGTGAAAGGTAATACTGATCCACCTAAATCTGCGAAACATCACTTTGCTTGTAAGATCATTAATATTATAAAATGAGGTAGAAGAAATTTAGATAAATAACAATCTGATGATGAATTATACCCATGTTGATATTGTTTTCTGTCTCACTGCTTGACTGACTAGTATGGGATACTAAAGCCGCGAATCTAACGATAGAACGATATGGATTTATTTTTCCCTCAAAATAAATTAAAATGATGCATGTACAGACATTTTATATGGTTTATTTACAGTTAGATTTACATTAAAATCAAATAAATCGAATTAAGAAGTATTGAATACCAACTAGTTAATAACACATTTACTGCATCATACGATTAAGCATTTATAACTAATAGATATTACCAAGTTATAGAATTATTCCTACTCAGGATGTGATTACAGACTACTGGAGAAAACAATTTTGTATGTCATTCGCACTATAACCAACTAGGTCGTTGGTCACTATATCACCTCTCCCATAAAATGGTGTTGGGTCCTTCTGAGATAACATTGGATAAATGGTGATACCCTTGACTTATTTATTAAATGTTTTCATCTTCGTTGAAATCACTTTTTCTATTTCATCTACGGACTGTAGCTCAACTATTAACGTTATATTTAAGATATTTTTATGTTATTGTCAAATCGCTAATTAAGAATAAGTTTTTAATATCACTTCCTTCCTCCTAATTAGACTGCAAACTTCTCTTATGAATTGATTTATAACAATGTAAGCAGCCACGTGTTGTAGTCGGCCGAATGTTATAAAAATAAAACTGAGAGTAATGAACTTGAAGTTAAAGACTTTTCTGCGAATTTTGACTGAAATGTAGTGGCTAGATCTGAATGAATGGTAACTTCAAGACTATCTGTGATCTCAGTTTTATTATTGTTCAATCCAAGTTCATTATTGCATGAACTAAGATTTATACCCATGGTACCTTCTCATTAAACTGCATTTGAAATATTTTTCTAAAACTTATTTACGACTTAATTAGAAATAAATGAATCATTAAAACAATTTGATATCTAATGAAATAATATCGGAAATCGATTTATTGAAAACATTTATCTCAATGATTATGGATTTCATTCGACATGACTAGATCATTAGAATTAGCAGAATATTACTTTATCAAGTAACGACCGGAGTAAGACAAGGCTGTCTAATCTCCCTCTTCTTCTTTCTTCCGGTGATTGACTGGATTATGAAGATTTCGACATCTGAGCGGAAGCATGAAATACAATGGACATGTCAGAATCAATTACATGATTTGGACTTCGCAGATGACCTAGCCCTCCACTCTCATACACACGAACAAATGCAGATGAAGACAGCAAATGTAGCAGCAGCCTCCGCATCGATAGGCCTCCACATTCACAAAGGAAAAAGCAAGATTCTCAAAGGCAACACGAAGAACACCAACCCAATCACACTTGATGGCGAAACTCTGGAAGAGGTGGAAACATTCACGTACCTGGGAAGCAACATTGATAAAGAAGGAGGATCGGATGCAGATTTCAAGGCGAGGATTGGCAAAGCAAGGACAGTACTTCTACAATTGAAGAACATAAGCTACTCAAAAAAAACTGTCAACTAAATTCAAAGTGAGAATCTCCAATACGAATGTCAAGTCAGTCTGTTCTACTGTATGGAGCTGAAACGTGGAGAACTACTACATCCATCGTCAGGAAGTTACAAGTATTTATAAACAGTTGTCTATGCAAAATACTCATCATTCACTGATCGGATACTCTCAGCAACAGCGTTTTATAAGAGAGGACAAGCCAGCTTGCAGCTGATGAGGTAATTAGGAGAAGACGTTGGAAGTGGATACGACATACATTGAGGAAATCACCAAACTACATCACGAGGCAATCCCTAACTTGGAATTCGGAAGGGAAGAGGAAAAGTGGAAGGCCAAAGAGCACATTACGTCAGGAAATAGAAGCTGATATGAAAAGGATGAATGTTAACGGGAAAGAACTGGAAAGGATTGGTTGGGTTAGGGTTGGATGGAGAATGCTGGTGGGCGGCCTATGATCCTCCAGTAGGGGTAACAGGCGTAAGTAAGTAGGTAATAAGACATTAGAATGTATGAATTTCGCCTAGAGTTTACTTTGTTGATCTTTTCTTCCATTCCAGAAATAATATTTACTTCAACAGGGAAATTTATTTACATCATAAAATTTATATATGGTTTCTGAGTACAATTTTGAATTTAATTGCTTGGTCATGCAGTTCCTGAGTGTGCCGATGTGTAGCAAATAAGATTTAATGAAAACTTTTCCATCAATTTTACTTCTGTAGCGGAAGGTGATATATTTTAATCCGTAACTGTGTCGTCTATTGAAACCACGAAATGAAAAACAGAAGTCACGTTATGATTAAATACTAGGCTTGAAGGTCAAATTGTACTGAAAACTGAGTTGTAATTAGAAATAGACAACTGTCATGAAAAAGATTGAAATTTGTAGATTGACCTCTTCACTACGATTATTTCTGTCAGATTTATACTTGTCTGAGTTTTTGAAGAAAGAGACTAAGTTAATAAAGAAGCAATTGTTGTATGACTCATATTCTTTGTAGATTATGTTTACTGTTATTTCTGTGCAATTTTATAGATGGAAAATATTCAAACTTTTCTCAATGCAGCAGTTGCCTATGGAGTACCTAGAGCTAGTTTATTTCAAACCGTTGATTTATATGAATTACGTAATATGCCACAAGTTTTAAATACATTACTACAACTTGGAACAGAAGTTAGTTTATTGAATAATTACATTGTTATAATTTCTTTTATTACCACCAAGCTATTCTTATTACTTAGTATTCTTGGATATCAATTCACTCTACAAATCCCCAAATCAAAACACAGTTGAACAGGAATGAAATTATATTCAAAATAACCAGAGTATATGGAAGTAAGAAGCAAAATAAGAAAAACGTTAGGATATTTACATTTTTTACATGAGAAGATTCTAGAGTGTCCTTCAAGTATCCACCAACTCTGATTGGTTGAGAAATAGCCAATCAGCATGCAGCAACATAATCCTGCACGAAATGTGCTTTAATCCAATTTATATTCTGCTAACGTGCATATTTTATGTTGATCATTATTTGTCTTATCTCATTTATTTACCATGAAATTAAGTAATAAATTGAGTCAATCTATTTAGCAAGAACTTTACTTGACTGATCGATAGTATTGCTAATTTTTCTTTAAGCTACTTTATAAGTATCAGAAGGGGTTTTGTGGAGATTTCAGCATTTTCATAGTTGAAAGCATCAGTCAATTGAAGCTAGACCACCAAGCGAAACCTGGAAGCACTGGACGGTCATTTCGTCCAGTTGTGGGACTCCTCAGAAGTGCGCATCTACGATCTTGCCTCGCGAGACTCGAACCCAGAACATACCAGTTTATAAGTGCAAAAAAGCATAGTAGTTTTATATAATTTAACTGAGTGGTTAGTATAAATATCTACCGATTAAAAACCTTAGAAATTGGAAATGTCATTCCCTATGTATTCGGGTACTCGGAAATTTAACTGACACAGCATATTCTCGGCTGTATTACTTATGACATCTACTAACTTGAAATAAAGTGGAAAATGTATTAAATCTCATTATCTTCATTTATAAATGAACTAGACGAATTAGCAAATAAGAACAATGTTGTGAGTTAAGCAAGATCTTTCGTAAAGTAGTTTATAAATGTTGCTACAAACAAAACAACTTTAAGTTCATTTCATGTTGTTTGTTTGTCTCTTCTCATTGTTGCTTAGGGCTGCAATTGATCGGTCTCTTATTGGCAGAGTCTGATCGATTGCAGTCAAACACCCCATTGCACAAGAGGGTAGCTAAATAGATAACGCTATGGCGTTTGAAGCGAACGGTTCTGAGTTAGAGTCCAGAGTGAACATCAACTCTAGGCTACATGTACATCCAGCTGGCAAGTCCCAAATAAACGTGTTTCATGGATTTTACTGCTAGCCACTATCTAGCTTTACTTATAAAACAACTTTAGTTTGTTCCTTAGCTTCAATTTTGGTTCTCTCATAACTATTTCAATGACGAAAAATAATATTCTGATTGATTAAAGTTATGTCCGACCAAAGTCATTAAGTTGTGGCCTACAGAAACTCTCTCATTCAGTTTTAGTTGTATACCGAAAATAGAAACTATCCATTATATTCAGAGATAAACTCATATCAAATTATGTTGATTTCACATTTGATTTGAGGTGATACTATTAGAATAAGGACTGGAGCCAAACTATCTCTCAACTCTCTGTACGTATTAACCATCACATTTCATTGTGTTCCCAGCGTTGATCGTTATACATAATATTAGCCTAATTCTATACAAAAAGAAGTTAGGTTCATTTTATGTTCGTGTGTTAGTTGTAATATTTTTATATGAATGTGTTGATAACATTCAGGAACATAATAAATTGTATAGCTGAGTTTTACATTCACTAAGCGGCTTTTGAATAGATACAATTTGAAGGTAAACATTCTCTCCACATTCCCAAAGCACTTAAATAAACTAACATTGTAGGACCGTTTTCATGAGAAGGCTACATCAACCGTCGAGCACCTACGATAAGATCCTAAAATATTTTGAAAATTTTAAACTACTTAATTGTTCTTAAGTAGGTAAGGAATGAAAACGTAAAACATTTCGCGGAACAGAATGATCAGTGAAATTTTAATTTCCCACTAAGTTACGATTAAAAATAAAGATATAAGTAAGAATGTGTCTTACTGCAGGATATTTTTCGTCTACACATACGTGTCATAAAACACTCATTTGGTATTTATAACTGGAGAGGATTTTTAAATCAACGGAGTTGGAGAAAGTGCTTAAAGGATTGTCGAAGGACCAAGTGAAATAATTTTGGAGTTGACGTTATTTCGGCCTGTGATGTATATCTTCCATAGGTGCCGATCAATAATTTCGTTAAATGGTTTGGGATAGCTAGATGCTAATAACATTACGCCATTTTGTCAGACAAGACTGATTTTGATGAATTAGTGATTGTAATCCAAACATCTATGTTCCAATAACCGTTACAAGTCACTGTCTTTGTCATTGTGGGGAATCGCTCAAGCTTCTCTCCTCCAAATACTTTATACAGTCTTATATTCTTTATATTCCCACTGATTATTAAGTAAGGTAAGAGAGATAGAAATAAGCAAAAATTTTGTCTCAAATCTCGATTGAGGATACTAAATGTTTTCATAATAAGTATTTCTGTATTCAGATACATAGTTTCATATAAAATGAGGATAATTCACTATTTGAATGCTACAGTGTTTATAATATCTTTATTAATTACTGTTTAATGTTCGATAATGGTTGAGGGAAATATTTATTGTTATTCTTCTTTTTCTGAAATAGTGTCAACGTAACAATTTTAATGGACCCGTATGTGGTCCTAAGCCAACGTATGAAAATAAACGTGAGTTCACTGAAGAACAACTTAGAGCATCCGAAGGCATAATTGGTTTGCAAGCTGGAACTAATAAATGTGCTAGCCAAGCTGGAATGAGTCATGGTGGACCACGACACATTACAGATATTAAGGTTGATGCTGCTTCGAAAGAAAGTCAGGGTGTCATCGGTCTTCAGATGGGCACGAACAAAGGTGCTAGCCAAGCTGGAATGAGTCATGGCGGACCACGACACATTACAGATATTAAAGTAGATGCTGCTTCGAAAGAAGGTCAGGGTGTTATCGGTCTTCAAATGGGTTCGAACAAAGGTGCCAGCCAAGCTGGAATGAGTCATGGTGGTCAGAGACATATTGCAGACATTAAAGTTGGTGATATGTCAAAAGAAGGTCAGGGTATTATCGGTCTTCAAATGGGTTCGAACAAAGGTGCTAGCCAAGCTGGAATGAGTCATGGTGGTCAGAGACATATTGCAGATATTAAAGTTGGTGACATGTCTAAAGAAGGTCAGGGTGTCATTAGCCTACAAATGGGCGCAGGTAAAGATCAAGTGGCTTCACAATCTGGTATGAGCTTTGGAGCACAACGTCATATTGTAGATTCACATTAAAACGGTTACCAATTAAATCTAATCTTAATTTATCTCATAAGGCTTTCTGCTTATTTTCAATTACATCATCAGAATTATCATTCCTTACTTGCTCTATTACTGTTATTAATATGCTTGTCATTAAGCTCTTTTCCATATGACCGCCATAATTGATCATATTTATTCGTAAAATCAGAACTATGATAGTAAAAAGAAAGTAAACTGTTCAGAGAATGTCGATGCAATCCCATTTTGAACTTATCTTAAATTTGGCTGACAATTTTAATGCTTTATTTCTATTTAAATGTAAATCACGTTTTTGAACGATGACTATTATCTATCAATATTCAATGAAGATCTAAGAGAATCATCTTCATGTTATCGTTGTCATGTTTATCTTCAATAAACGTTTCTCATTATTGAATATTCATTCACTATAGTATGAGACAACTATAAGATGTTTCTTGATGTATAATCAAGACTTACTTACTTACTTACGCCTGCTACCCCTCATGGAGGAGCATAAGCACCACTTCTGGTTAGCGTTTCTCAGCGAGTTGGTTTTCTATAGGATGGCATCGCTAACCCCATGCCTAACCCTCCTCCTTTACTCGGGCTTGGGACCGGCAGTAACTCTATAAGAGCTACAGGCGCAGTTATAATCAAGAGACAAACACTAATTTTTTCTTATCGCTTTTTGCTTTAACATTCACTATGGTTTATTTTTTATTTTTCAGATTAATTTTTGATCCATAAAATTTACCAAAATGATCTTTTTTTCTAAAAGGAATGTATTTATTTACATTATTTATCATAGATCTGTTTTTATCATTGCTTCTATGCCATCATTAACAAATTTGTAATGAATAGTTTTTCTTTAAATTTTATAGTTTACAATGAGTTTCAACAGATTTCAATAAGAAGGGGTTTTGTGAAGATTTAAGTATTTACATAGTTGAAGTCATAAGTCGATTGAAGCTAGACCAACATGCAAAACCTGGAAGCAACTGAATGCCCGTTTCGTCTTACTGTGGGACTCCTCAGCAGTGCGCATCCAGAATCCCGCCTCACGAGACTCGAACCCAAGACCTAATAGTTTCGCTCTCGAGCACTTAACCACTAGACCATTGAGCCGGCCGGATCCGATGGTGTTAATGTCTAACTTCAACCAATCCACGATGTTTGAGCAACCGTTCACAAATTGTCTTCAGTGAGTTGATGTTTCACAACAGATCTGGTTGAACTCCACTGGTCACTGCTCCTCGTTAGAACTCACTAGAACGGTTGCTCAACTTCGTGGATTGGTTGAAGTTAGACATTAAAATCATCGGATTCCGGCTCAGTGGTCAATCGTTTAAGTGCTCTGGCGCGAGACTGGTAGGTTCTGGGTTCGAATCTCGCGAGTGCGGGATCGTGGATGCGTACTGCTGAGAAGTCCCGCATTAGGACGAAATGGGTGTCCAGTGCTTTCAGGTTTTCCATTGTGATCTAGCTTCAGTTGACTAATGATTTCAACTACACAAATTTCAACGAAAAGCCCAACTTGATATTGTTATTTCCTAGATTTAGCAGTAGGTTGACTGTTACATAATGTATAAGCTTGTATCTTAATCCAAGTGTCATTTTGATTTTTGAATAAAGTAAGCTAATGGTAATCAACACGATGATGAAAAAATTGGGTTTCATGACAGTTGCTACTGCCTTTGTGATACAACAGATGCCCACGTGTAGTTAGAAAAGGTACCACCAGTCAAGATATTACCACTATGATTAATGGACAACAGCTAACCTGATGTGGGATTGAGACTAGTACATTATTCAGTTATTTGGTAGTAAACATTCTCAAATCATCTATTCCTTATTGCTAATTGATTTTGACGAGTTGCATGGCAATATGACAACTTTTCTCAGTAAATTACCACAGATGTGAGAGTCGTTTGACTTTAGGTGGTTAGTTTCTATAAGCAATAAACTTTGAACCTAGAATAAATGTTAAAAGACATTAGAATTCGATGAAAAAGAAGAACCTGAGAATATGATACTGGTTGTCGCTAAGTGATCACCTGACATGTATATAAATTAACCCGATATTATGGTTCCTCCCAGTTATTTCCAAAGACTAAACATTAAATAAATGATACTGCAATTTCGAAGTATTTATAATAGAATTGACTTTACATCTAGACTGGTAGAGTTTGTTTACTACTGAAAACCAAGAAGAAATAACGTTGGTTTCAACATGGTGATGTATTAATACAGATGTATTTTTCTAACTTCGTTCATTATATCTGTTAAAATTTGCACAATGGTTATTATTATTAACTTTATTCAATAATATACTTTTGGTACAATATAGAATTCTCAGCACAAGGTATATCAACAAGTCCCCTTTCCTTACTTCTTAATCGATCCTGACATTAGAGATTGAGTAATCACTAGTCAGATGTTGACAGTTCAGGAATCGACGTCTGAATTATGTACATTCTTTTCTCTGAATGTTGTCAGCAAACACGATGTTTCTGACTGTGCTCTTTCTAACTTGTATAAGAAATAGTCGCAAACGTTTGATAAACATACCTGAATATGTTTTGCGATTAGTAAACATAATGATGTGTTCAAACAAGCAAAAACAGATAACTTGTTGAAATATCTAGATGACAGGAACAGGTAGCTCAGATATTCGAGCAGCCCGTCAGTTCTACCTTATATTTCATGAAGGTTATTATATATTCAAAGACTGATTAATTAATGAGTGAAAGATAATTCTTATCTTCATCGTTTACGGATTGGGCCAGTTCTAACTTAGCTAATACTCAATTTGTCAAATTCATGATCTAAATTACAATAAATTGATTTACATTGAATGATTAAATGCCTATGATTGAAATATTTTGAACGTGAATATCATTCCTTCCTTCCCTACCCCCTTAAACACTCACAAACTTCTTCGTGATCATATCAAGAAATGAGAGGTTATTTATCAAAAAGGGAGTTTTGTGTAGATTGTAGTATTTTAGTAGTTGAATTCATCAGTCTAGTGCTTCCAGGTTTTTCATGATGGTCTAGGTTTAATCAACCGATGAATTCAATCATTATAAATATGAGATTGAAAATTTCAAATGATTTCTACACACACACAAAAAAATGCTCTGATCGTCTTTGTATTCCATGTGAAGAATTTTCAACTAGTCATAAATAAAAGCATAAACTGTCTGACTAGTGCTTTTTCTTTTCATTAGTTATCCAACTGTTATCATTCACTCATGTGAATTTCTGTAAGATTCTAATCAGATTATTTGTGGCTTCCAAACGCCGTGGTACAACTGAGAGTAGGGAGAGTCAGTTCAATCTCTACAATCACTGACAGTGAAGTCTTACTCAATGCCTTCTCGAGGCATTACTGTTGTTTACAAAATTGAGAGGATGAAAAGTGAATGTCCGGTGCTCTAAAACGGTTGATGGATGTGATAGATCCACTTAGGGTTGTTGAATAATCCTCATTCCAAACTAATGGTGAACATGGGCTCCAGTATCCTGATTGAACAAATGGCGTATGAACACACTGTTAGTCACTGGCTACCACGTGACTGCATCTCCTTACGTTGCTACACTGACATGTGGATTACACGTTTAGGTTGAAGGCTAATGTTGTGACTTCTTAAGAAAACCACTTATTTGGTTTTGGCAACCAGGCAGTATCGCAACCCCCCTGCAAATGGAATGATTTATGTGGTGCATATCTATTTGTTGCCTTCTTGTACCAATGTTTATATTTTTAAATAAATAAACAGGGCATTTGTTTGATTTGAAAATAACGTTAATTACTGACTGGAATCAAGTAGAAAACTATTAAATCTAATGAGTATCTTAGTATGAGAATTCTTTGCAATGAGCACTAAAATCCATTCACAGATTAAACATGAAACCTTTAGGTCTCAGTAAAGAATGTGCTGTCTTCAAACTACTTCAGACTAACTTCAGTCAGTCCACGGTATTAAGCGAAAAATACCTACTACATCGTGATGACCTGTTTAAAATCTGATATGATTGAATTATTAACACTTCACAAAGAATAAGAAGTACACATGCATAAATACTTATAGCAATATGTTGCGTAATTATAATTTAGTTGATCATCGCAAAATTGTTGACGTAAAAATACCCCTCGATTTCTTCACTAGAATGATGAAGGATTACGCATTTATTTAGTTCGAGAATCCTAGAGACGCTGACGATGCCCATTACTACGTGGATCACACACGGTTCATGGGTTGCGATATCGAAGCCGATTTTACCCGAGGTGATCGTAAAAATTCTGTGGAGATGCGTTTAAAAGAAAGGCGTGATTAGCCTTAACGTGGTGGAAGAAAGTATCGTTCTAGGTCCCGTTCCAGGTCTTACTCCAATTCTAGACAAAAGGGAGTCGAACCGTACTATTGTGGTCGCCCTAACGACCGCCGAGATGATTCACGAAGGCGAATGAATAATTGGAATTATTTAAATTTCAATCGCTGAGACTATTTCGAATATAATTTTTCCACATATAATAACTCAATGAAGATATTTCTAATATCTTCATCATTAGATATGGCGGTGTATTATAGTTTTTCAACCTTATTGTCTAAAAGAGCAGTTAGACTTTGTGTTTTTCTGTAATCTCATGACGTTTTGTTTATAATCACAACAAATTCAATAAAAATATCCTACTTGAATATTTCTTCATCATTGATACCTGTGTTATGCTAATTATTCCATAAACTCTTTGGTCTACATTCAATGTACTTCATTAGCCCCTTAACTGACTTTAATTGAATCGTATGGATGTTATTGAATGGTTGCTGTCAAAATATACATGTCTATCCTAGTAAATAATTATCGACATTATCCACGTCAGTGAATATAACGGAATTAAATTAGCCAAATACGAGAACGGGTTTTTCGTATATATACTTCATTTACTCAGTGATTGGAACAGGCAATCAGGAAGACGGAACAAAGAGGGAGAGACGAAGCGGATTGGAGAAGGCCAGTTAGCGAACTCAGAACTTTAATCAATATCTTCAAACGAAAATAAGCTACAGATAGGTGATGAGTATGATAAGAGGTGTACAAACATATGCTCATATGAAAACAGTCTAGGATATAGCATTAACATGATCAAAACGTCACTCAAGATGGATGGATAAATTGGCGTGTCCAGAAGCTAGAATAAGTTATATGGGCTTAACTTAGCAACCGAAACTACAGTACAAAGACGAGTATGATTGTTTCAATTGAGTTCAAATTAAAAACCTGAACTTTACACTTTACGAGGTCAGAAACTTAGAATGTTGTTTGAAAATTGTTAAATAGTAGATAAAGGTTTAGGATTAACTACGATCAATTGAAGAACATATGGAACTCAAAACAACTGTCAACTAAATTCAAAGTGACAATCTCCAATACGAATGTCAAGTCAGTCTGTTCTACTGTACGGAGCTGAAACGTGGAGAACTACTACATCCATCGTCAAGAGGGTACAAGTATTTATAAACAGTTGTCTACGCATAATACCCAACATCCATTGGCCGGATACTATCAGCAACAGCATTTTATAAGAGAGGACAAGCCAGCTTGCAACTGATAAGGTAATTAGGAGAAGACGTTGGAAGTGGATAGGACATACATTGAGGAAATCACCAAACTACATCACGAGGCAATCCCTAACTTGGAATCCGGAAGGGATGCGGAAAATAGGAAGGCCATGAACACATTACGTCAGGAAATAGAAGCTGATATGAAAAGTATGAATGTTAAATGGAACTAACTGGAAAGGATTGCCCAGGACAGATTTGGATGGAGAATGCTAATGAGCGTCCTATGCTCCTCGAGTAGGGGTGAAAGGTGTAAGTAATTAAGTACAACCAAAATATCTTTTTAACAATTTATTACTATTGAAATGATCAAACTATCGTCATAAGTAGTTCATTCACCATGAATCATACATAAGCAAGTAGATATCAGGCGAAGTAATATATGTGTGTATTATGAACACTTTTCTACATACATTACAAAGAACGATCCAAAAAATTTATCCATTATAAACTGTCAGATAGTTTAATCATACACTTTCAAGTCCATATTAAGACATTAAAATCACTACTGACTTCAATACAAAATAATGAAGCTTATATGAAACTTTTGACATGATATTGAACCGTTTTAAGTGTGTCAAAAATAAGATCTAGCACATTTAATGTACATAGTGATAATATACATCCATTAAAATGGTCTATAATCATATAAACAAACTAACTAATTTACAATAGTATTATATAACTTGACCATAGTAACATGATTACCTATTCACAACACCTATATACCAGAAAGGAAAACATCATTGATAGAACTGATATATATTTGTCATCACACTCATATGATATCCACTGATGATGATGATGATGATGATGATGATGATGATGATGATGATGATGATGATGATGATGATGATGATGATGATGATGATGATGATGATGATGATGATGATGATGATGATGATGATGATGATGATGATGATGATGATGATGATGATGATGATGATGATGATGATGATGATGATGATGATGATGATGATGATGATACATAGCTGTAATCATATGTAAACATTATCCCCTTTGTTTTATATACGTATAGACTTGATTATAGTGTCTGACAATTGTTAACTTAGCCAGACTGAATGTTAAGTAAGATGTCATAGTATGCGCGTAAGTGATTAACTCCTGATATCAGTCAAACAATCAAGAATATGTTGATTTGTATCTACGTCTATTCGATCTAGATTATCTAGATATTCTAGATATCGGAATGATTGTCAATCAGTCACAACGTACAACTTCGTACGTACGTACATCAGTTCGAGTTGCAACACCACACTAGTACAGAGATGCAGTTGTCGATTCAAATACCATAGTGAAAGAAGTAGTAAGAGTTTAAGCAGTAATCGGAAAGATTAGGGTTTAAAGATGTTATTCAAAGAAAATAATCCAGTGAAATAAACATCAAAAGACAAAAAAGATAGAGACACGAAGAATTCAGAAGATTAGAATTTGGTAGAACACAAAGAGTGGATGTACCTTCGCCATTGCAAACGATTTTGAGCCATGTCATTCAAGGTCTCTAACCATCGGTTGCTATCATCTCGCAGATCTCAACCAGGTAGTCTACACCTACCAACATGGTTCAGTCCACTTGTCAGCGACTTCATGGATTTGTGCCACGTTTTGGTCGGGCCACCCCTATCTTTCTTCCAACCTACTCCTATACCATAAAGCATTGCATGTCGGGGCAGTCGGTGGCTGGGCATACGTAACACGTGTCCGAGCCATCTCAACTGACGAAATTTCACTACTTCATCAATCGATTTGCCATCCTTACCTAGTACCCGTTTCCTAACAACTGCATTACTTACCCGGTAGTCTCAGGGGTTGACTTCTATTTAAAATAAATTAGAAACTGGAAAGACATCATCTCGTCATACACTATTATGTTTCTCAATATTATGAATACATATATGAATAATCCATCGTGATGATTCCATATGATACCTGTTTAAAGAAAACTATGCAAATATAATTCAATGCATATTTGCATTGTAAACGAAATATAGTTTTTAACAAATCAGAAATTAACCTCAGTATTGCCCTACTTGGTTCTAATTCATTGACGAATAAATCCAGTTAGGTTAGATGAATCCACGAGACTTGTTCACTTTGTAGACAGTTTTCACATTAGAATGACCATTACGTAAGGAATTATTTAAAAGTAGCAAGAATATACTTAACAGAGTTAAAAAAAGAGAGTTAAAACATATATAATGAATTCCTTTTAGTAAATTAAGTAGATAACTTGTTGGTTATATCTAAGGAAAACAATCCCCTGGTACAACTGAGAGTAGGGAGAGTCAGCTCTACCTCTCAAAATCCTCTCACATCGTCATGTGCACACAAACACTGAAATCCTACTCAATGCGTTGTCGAGACATTATTGTTGTTTACAAAATTGAGAGGATGAAAAGTGAATGTCCGGTGCTCCAACAGGGTTGCTGGATATTGTGGATCTACCTAGGGGAGTTGGATAACCCTCATTCCAAACCAATGGTGAACATGGGCTCCAGTATCCTGATTGAACAAATGGCGTATGAACACACTGTTAGTCACTGGCTACCACGTGACTGCATCTCCTTACGTTGCTACACTGCCTTGTGGATTACACGTTTAGGTTGAAGGTTGGTGGTATGACTTCTTAAGACAATCACCTATTTCGGTTCGGACAACCAAGGAGTATCCCAGTCCTGACAAAAATTGAATGATTTATGTGGTTCATATCCATTTGTTGCCCTCTTATACCAATGTTCATATGTTATAATGAATAAATAAATAAATAAATAATAAGAAAAACAATTATCATAAACACCTTAACTGAAATATGTCTTACTAAATGCGTCATCAAGTGGAAGCTCATCTCCGGAAGTTATTCAAAGGTCTATTCTTCCTCCTGAACAAATACTTCATTAGTATCATTTAAAAACGATAACCTACAAAAGCTGTCGTTCACCAATACACATAATTATTTCATTTACCATTATCCAGTCTAAGCAGTAAAACAATGAAAGTAATGTAGCACAAATCATCTGGAACCTAAGCTAAATAACCGTCTTTACATTCACTCTATGAAAGACTTATAAATCAAACATTTAAAAAATTCCGTCCAATGTTAAAGTGTTAATCTTGTGCATAAAAATATCATCCTGAGAATATAGACACTTGAGGCTCTATATTTTGGCTAACTAGAAAAACAGCTGATTACTATATGTTCTTCAAGTTTAAAATATCACAATACATGTGCATTTCCTTATTACATTGCTATTACTTACTTACTTACTTACTTACTTACACCTGTTACTCTTAATGGAGCATAGGCCACCGACCAGAATTCTCCAACCCACTCACTCTGTCATTCGCCTTCCTTTCTAGTTCTATCCGATTGTTGTTCAATCTTCTCATGTCTGTCTCTATTTCTCGGCACTTTGGGACAGATCACTTGAGGAAATGTATATAAGAAGATATGATTTGTGCTAGAGATTCATAACGTGATGGAAATGAGTACTTCGTGATATGTTAAATAAATGAGAAATGAATACTGCATCACCATATAAACTATAATTTGAGTAAAACTGTAATTTATATGTAAAGGTTTGAATATTCCCATTACTGATATTAGGAAGTATAAGCAGTCATTTTCTATTGGCAGACTTAGATTCTAAAAGGATTGTCTTGATATTGATTTTAGTTACAAGTGCTTATTATACTCAAAGTGATATGTAATAAGTTCGAGTGCCAATGTTAACATCAAAATGAGGATCCAAGCACATCCAGTTGACGCATCCCAAGTGGAACGAAAAAAGAGTCCTTAAATTTAAATATAGTGAAGAAGTGAATTCTGTTCGCAGAACAGACAACTTCAACCTTCAGAATTAATGATCAATTAGTAAACCTGACTGTTTAAATAGAATTTTTTAAAATTAAAAACATGAGACTTGTTTAAAAGTAGGATAATAACATTATAAGATCAATAATAAGCCCATGAAAAATAAGTACCAAACTTTGTATAACTCTTATCATAAGTGAATAATTTTTTCTGGTTAGTGTTTTTTAGCGAGTTCGTTTTCTAAGGGATGGGGTCGTTAACACCATGCCCAACTTTCCTCATTTACCCGGGTTTGGAACCGGCAGTAGCCCACGGAGGAGCTACGGGCGGAGTTAGTTGCTTACTCCCACCTTTTCTCTTTCTACTGGTGATCGACTGGATCATGAAGACGTCAACATCTAGAGGGGAACACGGGATACAGTGGATAGCTAGGATGAAGCTAGATGATTTAGACTTCAAAGATGATCTGGCTCTTCTATCACACACGTAACAACAAATGCAGGAGAAAACGACCAGTGTAGCAGCAGCCTCAGTAGCAGTAGGTCTCAATATAAACAAAGGGAAAAGCAAGGTTCTCCGATACAACAAAACATGAACCAATCGAATTACACCAGCCGGAGAAGCGTTGGAGAATGTGGAAACCTTTACATATCTGGGCAGCATCACTGATGAACACGGTGAATCAGATGCAGATGTAAGGGCGAAGATCGGCAAAGCAAGAGCAGCATACCTACAACTGAGGAACATCTGGAACTTAAAACAATTGTCAACCAACATCAAGGTCACAATTTTCAATACAAATGTCAAGACAGTTTTACTGTATGGGCGGAGACGTGGAGAACTGCGAAAGCCATCATCCAGAAGATACAGGTGTTTACCGACAGTTGTCTACGCAAAATACTTCGGATCCGTTAGCCAGACACTATCAGAAACAAGGTATTTTTGGACAGAACAAACCAGATTCCAGCAGAGTAAGAAATCAAAAAGAAGCGCTGGAAGTGGATCGGGTCTTTTTGTGGAAATCACCCAATTGCGTCGTAAGACAAGTCTTCACTTGGAATCCTGAACGCCAAAGGAGAAGAGGAAGATCAAACAACACATTACGCCGAGAAATGGAGACAGACATGAGAATGAACAAAAATTGGATAGAATTAGAAAAGAAGGCCCAGGACAGAGTGGGTTGTAGAATGCTGGTCGGCGGCCTAAGCTCCATTGGTAGTAACAGGCGTAAGTAAGTATCATCAGTGAATGAGGAACTTTTACAAGGTAATACAACTTGAACTGGGAAAAGGGAGAAATAAATTTCAGCATCATATTCAAGTGGAAGATGAATACATTAAGTGTTTCATATGTACAGGTACGTATATATGACAAAGTGATTCATTTGATAAGGGTATTTTCATCACTTTAAATACGTGAGTACGATATTTTGAATAGATAGTTCAGTTTTGTTGGATACGAACGCTTTCTGTTTTTTCATAGTTGAAATCATGAGTCAATTGAAGCTAGACCACCATGGAAAGCCTGGAAGCACTGGACGATCGTTTCGTCCTATTATGGGACTCCTCAGTGGCAGTGTGCATCCACGATCCCGCTTTCTGTTTTGTTGTCCGCATTAAAGTTATCCATAATATGTTTAGCTTCAGCTAGTCCTTCTTTGTGACTAGAAAATCTCTTTTGAACTACACACATATTGAGGATATATATGTTATGATTACTAAATCTGAAATTGACCATTCTATATACCGCTTTTGTTATACTACAATATCAGGAAAATCGCTCGAGCTTGCTCAGAATTCCACTAACCACCTAATTGAAATGGTCACAAAATTCACAAAAATACACAACACAAAGGTTTATTGAACGACCGTTTTTAAAACAGGTTACCAGACATAGAAGGCTAGTTGACCTAGAATAGATTTAACCCAGTAGCTAATTGGATAATGCGATGACTTTTGAAGCGAATAGTATTGGGTGCGAGTCCCGGAGTAAAAAACAACTCCAGTAGGTCGAAATTCACGTCGTGGATCCCACTGTTAGCCATCATCCATCTCTGTTTATAATTAAACCATATTGTTCGTTAATATTAGTATGAACATACTTATAGGATGTTCTGTTTATAGTCTCTACAATAGTTTTGTTCAACATTCCAAATTGACCTCAAAAGTTAAAACAGACAG